CCTGAAATCTCTAGCAATGTAAGCTAGGGATAAGGAGGTGATTGAAGTGCCATATCCTCTACATGTAAGCTTCTTCCTCAAGTCTTTCACTCCCTTCAAGTACCTGTCCTAAAGTGATATTGGAACTATGTACCTCCTCCCTGGAAGCTATAAACTAAAAGAAACAAGACTCCTCTTTTCCCAAGCTTATGCCAACTCCAGCCTTCACTAAGGCACAGAGCACTGAGTAATTCTTTGTCAATTAGAGTCCTATGCAAATAGTTTTGAGCCTCAGGTTACACAAGAAAGTGTATTTATTCAGAAAAAATATTAAATTTTATACCTGAAACAAATGTCTATTTTCTAAAGCTAAAGGAATTATTTATTTTAAAATCAAACTTTTCCAGTTTCATGGTATCCTTTAACAATACAAATTAGCTTCTTTTTCTGAATTCTCTTGGACTTTACAAGGCATTGAATTGATTGGTTGCTTTTTACTTATTCTTCTAAATACGTCTCCCTAAAATTCAAAATAAGATTGGATAATCATGAAAATAATGAAGAAAGGAAGATTTTTTTTAAGTGATGAGAAAATTAAAAAAGAATATCTGAAATTGGATGATGATGATACATAGAAAAATTATGCAGAATTTGCTATTGAATAGATATATGGTGTCCAGATATGGGATGGCCAACTTATAATCATATATTTCTACCTGTCTTTAACCAGTGTTATTAAGGCTTATTAAAAATTATTTAAACTTGCATATTGTTTTAAGAGGCTCCTGCTTTCATCAGCTTAGACTGAAACCATATATAAGTGGAAAAAAACTATTCAGCTTTGACCATAGTATTCATTGCTTAGCTTGAAGCCATGTTGGAAATGGGTTGTCTAATTTATAGAATCATTTAAATGTCCTTTTTGAAAAGGGCACATTAGAGATGGTAATAATAATTGATACATACACATAATTTTAAAGTTTCAAAATGTTTTATATCTACTATCTCATTTTATACACATGGAAAACTTGGGAGGTAGGTACTATAGGTATTACGATTTTACAGATGAGGAAACAGGTTACAGAAGTTAAGTGATACCCATAGTCACATAGCTGGCAAGTATCAGAGGCAGGCCTTGAATCCAAGATTTTCCAACTCCAAGACCTCTGTGCTCTCTTTCACACCTTGCTATTTCTATGATCTTAGTGAATCATTTTAAATATCTTATGCGACTATTATAAATATTGTGTAAAGAATGTAGCTCTCGAGTTACTTTCCCTCCATTTTATAAGAGATTCAATTTGGCAGAATGATGTCACAAAATTTGGAAAAGAATTGGGAAACTAAAGAGAATGTGTTGGGATTCTACAGGAAGAATAGTCTGGCCAATTTTTGAAGAATATGGGGAATCCAAATTAATGGTTTTATAAAACCCATATTTATGATTATTATAAGTCAAATTTTCTCCTTTTCTTTCTACTCTCATGATAATGTTTGACATCTAAAATAGAGACATATCAAATACAGTCTAATGGACCATCTCTACTAGGTATCTGTTGTTTTTATGTAAAGGAATGATACTTCTAATTCATAAGTATCCCCTACTACCAACTCCTGTTGCTCCAGGGATATCATATTTTGGCCTTTCCAGACCTTTAAACATTTCAGAACTCACAAGGCGCTCTTGGATACATCTGCCATGTGATAGTGACCTGATCTCAGTAAAGAATAAACAAAAATTGCAAAGTCATCCAGAACCATCAGCCCAAATGACTGAGGGGTTACTATGATCCAAGCTAAGGAAGGACTGACTTTCTCTACCTCTTACTGGGATCATATCATGCTGCCTCTGGGCCGATTCAGGAACTATCTCTCCCCTCTTTAAAAAATCCACCAAGTTATCAATTCTGGTTAAACAGCCAATTAGGAGGGCTCTTCCCCATTTCCCCTGGCTATAAGTAAGCCTCCAAAGCCCCTACATGTATGGCTACCATATCTTTTGGACTGTGATCTACAATAAATTTCACATCATTTTTCTGTAACTAATTCTGATCAACTTTCAGATGTCTTTTGTTATTTTTCATCATTCCTTAAATCTTTATCAGCAGGAAACAGTGCTTAAACTTCCTCCCACACTAGTCCTAGCTCTTTTCTTTGAAGAAGTTGAGAGTGTCTATCAAACATACAGAGAAATTTAAAAATCACCTCAGGTCAGATCCATGTTAGATCACAAATCCTGCTCTCTGTTATTTAAAAAAAAAGTCTTGTTTAAAAGTAAATTTTGTGTGGGCATTTTAATATTTTTACACCTCTATACACCTTTTGTACTCAAAGTGAATGACTATATAATAGAATAAATGGCAACTATGTCTTGTTTAGTTTTTAATGTAATGAGTTTTTATTTCATAAAAAGATGTTGCCCTCCAGAGGGTAATTTGACCTGTCATTTCAAAATTGTTTCATAACTCTGATTTCTATCTAATTGTAAAATATCATTCAACAAATCACAACTTCATCTGTGCAATGATTTTAGGAAAAAGTTATTGCTATTATAGATTGGAAGTAAAAGATTGCAATTTTCAGTGACTAGAATTCTTTCCTTCCTGATGGATACAAATATAGGAATACAGGATGATTTTCCTAGTACCTTATTAATGACAATATTTTCAATTATCAGTATAAATCATCAAGTATTTATTAATTCCCCATTAGAAGCTCACTTCTCAAGACATGCTTATCTATTTTAGCAATAATATATCACTGCACAGGATGCTCTCAGAAAAATCTGTAATGACTTACATGAACTGATGCAAAGTGAAATGAGCAGAACCAGGAGACCACTGTATGTTTTATGATGATCAACTATGAATGATTTAGATATTTTAGCAATACAATGATCCAAGACAATTCTGAAGGACTTATGATGAAAAATTCTATCCACATCCAGAGAAAGAAATGATGGAGAGTCTGAATGCTGATAAAAGCATACTTTTTATTTTTCATATCTGTTTTCTTTCACAACATGACTAGCATGAAAATATGTTTTGTATAACTGCACATGTATAACTTATGTCAAATTGCTTGTCTTCTCAATGAGAGAGGAAGGGAGGGAGCAAGAGTTTAGGACTCAAAAATTTAAATGAATGTTAAAATTGTATTTCATGTAATTGGGGATAATAAATATTAAATTTTAATAATATTTTTATTTTTTGAATTATATGGAAAGATAATTTTCAACATTCCTTTTTTGAAAGATTTTGAGTTCCATGTTTTTCTCCTTTCTTTTGCCCTCCCCATTATGGCAAGCAATCTGATATAGGTTATACATGTTTTACATGATACATGTACAATCATGTAAAACATATTTCCACATTAGTCATGTTGTGAAAGAAGAAACAGAACAAAAGAAAAAACACACAAAAAATGAAAATAGCATGCTTCATCTAGGTTCACACTCCATCAGTTTTTTCTCTGGATTTGGACAGCATTTTCCATTGTGAGTCTTTTCAGATTGCCTCATATCATTGTATTGCTGAGAAAAATTAGGTCAGTCACAGTTGATCAGCACAAAATATTGCTGTGTACAGTGTTCTCCTGGTTCTCCTCACTTTTCTCTTGCTGCGCATTGTTAAAAGGTGACTCAAAGCCTACTGCCTTCTGAAAGGTTTCTCTCTTCTCCAGCCCCCACCTCCACCTTGGTCATGACCTTCCCCTTCAGACTTCTGTTATTTACTGAGTAATACTGGGTATGACAGATACCTGGGACAATGTCATCCTAGAAGATTGTAAGCCCAGTGAAGGCAAGGGATAGTGTCTTACTAAGAAATGCAAATTGGGAATTCTGCTTAATGAATATTATCAAGCTTGATTTTTAGCTGAGGCCTGCTATGCATTAATAAGCTCAGTTAAATTAGCTTGTATTAGTAATTTGTTAGCATTTGACTTCCCCATTCCAATAAGCCTAAGTGGCTTCTTCTGTAAGATTCCCCTTTTCAGTGTGAGTCAAAGTTCACCTTTTTATATGAGTTAATTCTTCCTTTGGACTCATAGAAAATCACAAACTTTTCACATGATGCTAAAGTCCAACAGATTGTCCAACTTTCAAGTCCCCCATTCCCAGAAATAGGTTCTTTGTTACTAACCTCTTTCCAGACACACATCCCCTAATCCTCTCCTTGTTCAAGATGTTAAGATGCCTTAGCCCACCTTCGTAACAAATGGATACAACTTTTGGTTAGCACCCTCTGTCCCAACCATCCAGTAATATCCATGTTACCCAAGTTTTATCATTTGCCTCAGTTCCTCTTTGTGGACTATAAGAAAGCTCTGTGAAGTCTCCCTGGAGGTCCTTCATTGCTGAGGAACCTCAGACCCCATTTATTGGCAATTACTAGCCTTGCTAATAGCAGCTAGGGGGGCATCATATGCACAGAGTGCTGGGCCTGGAGCCTAAGGAAGACTCTAGTTCAAAATTGGCCTCAGATGCCTAGTAGCTGTGTGACCCTAGACAAATCACCCCACCCTACCTGCCTCAGTTTTCTCATCTATAAAATGAGCTGGAAAAAGAAATGGAAAACTATTCCAGCATCTTTGCCAAGAAAACCCCTGATGAGGTCACAAAGAGTTGGGCATAATTGAACAACAGTCTTGCTAATAAATGGAATGTGCTTGGTTTCTCTTTACTATAGATTTTGATTGTCACAATATCTGAGCTCGGGACCTGCCACAGTGCATAGCACAGAGCTCTGTAGCCAAGAGGGGGTGTTGATTTATAGAATGGAGGCTGTTGACAGGACCTCCTCTAAGAAGATACTACCATTGTTCTGTACTCTAGAGACAGGAGTTCAGGATGATAGGAAGGATTAGAGCACACTGACTTTTAGGTCAAATGAGATAATTACATATTACATTTTTTAAAAGAATACAAATATTTACAAAAGTCACTATAAATTAATGGGAAAACATTGCCAAACAAAATTTCATGCTGTTATTTTTTTTTCTCCCTTCATTCCTTCTTCTAGAGATGTATTTACCACCACCAAAACTTCTACGTTCAAGTTGTGCCTACAAACCTGATGAAGGACCATGTAAAGCCATGCTCAAGAGGTTTTTCTACAATATTTACACTCAACACTGTGAAGAATTTGTATATGGAGGATGTGAAGGCAATGAAAACCGATTTGAAAGTCTGGAAGAATGCCAGAAACAGTGTTTAGCAGGTGAGTTCCTTGAAAAAAATCTATCATAGATTTATGGGTAAAAGGAAATGTAGAAATAGTGAGACCAACATATTAATTTTATAGATAATTCCTGATATTCCAAGAATCTTTATAATAATTCAGGTTAGCTTCCAATCATGTACTTTTTCTATAGATGCCCATGAAGGGGGAAAAGCAAATAGGCATTAATATAACCTTTTTGTTACTGATACACTGATAATGACATTCTCAACAAAGTCTCCTTTATATTGGAATAATGAATGGGAAAATTTAATTTATTGCCTCAAATATTTTGCCTAAAATATTATGCCAACAAAAGCAGGGGTGTGCTGAATCATCAAACATTCCTGGCAATGTATGACCTGACTTGACATACATAGTGTGGGTGACTCCCATGCTACCACAGGCATTTATTTTGCCGGCAGCCAAAATGGGGGCCCTTACATTTCTATTCCAGGACCTTTAGAAGATATCCTTTAAGACAATCTTAGAAGAGTGGAGAGCTTGAGAATGAACAGTCCATTAATTAAGAAAAAATTTCTTAGAGATTTGCAAAGGGAGGTCTTCTGTCCTCTGTGATTGGGAAGATGATTTTATGAGAACTGAATGGACATTTCATTTTACATAGATCATGTTTTTTCTCCCTTCCACATAATGGAAATAGGAAATGCCACTAATTAATATTATGCAGCTTAAACTTTATTTCAGATATTGTCAGTGCCTGCTATTGTCATGGTTAAACTAGTCACTTTCTACTTCACTCAGATTTCCTTACCAAAGTGCATTTCTATATCAAAACAAACATTTCTTTAGTCTTCATAACCTTGGCTAGATGCCTCACTATCTCATTCTTTACACATTTCTATTTTAGTGTTTTCATTTAGCAGCCTACCTCTTTTCCATAAATTTGTCTTGTTCTGACATAAACCACTTTTCTCTCTGTAACTTTGCCATTACACAAAAATACATTTGTTTTTCCTTTGGACTTAATACAAATATTGTAATTTAAGTAATCATTTGTGGCACCCACATAACTCTGTGAATCACCATGAATAAACCACCATTAAAATTTAAGAATACTTATACCTCCTCATTTAATTTAATTCAATTGAATACCACAAGTATTTATTAAGCACCTGCTATGTGCTAGGCACTAGGAATCCAAAGATGAAAGAAAATATTTCTAACCCTAATGGAGCTTATGATTCTTTGGAAGAAGCAGCATACAAAGTATATAGAAAAAATATGTCTTGTAATTTCTGTGGGGAGGGCATAGAGCTAATATGATGGGCAGTTTGATAACCATAGCACACAGACTCTAGAGGGCGCAATGGAAGGGCATAGAAGAGCTCAATAGGAACAATGGAAGGGTAGGCTTCATGACTAGCTGTGAGGGTACAGGAATTAGTGGTCAGAAAAGGAAGATTTTACTTAGCCTATAGCTCAAAATCACAAGAATTCTAGAGAAGTAATGTCTTTACCAAGAAAAAGGTAATATATATTTGATTATCAATCCTTATCAGTTACTGAAGATAAATGGGGAAAGTCATACAAAGAGTTGGAAGAGCAGGTATCTAGTCCCTGTTCCTACCTGATAGTTAAGGTAAGGATTGGTAGAATCCTGGGGCCAACTTGGTTACAAAAGGGCGAAGCATACTTGAGAGATTTGCCCCTGGCAAGGTCAGCTCTGACCCAACTTTCTCCAATGTTGAGTAGATCATCTTCCCTAGGTTGGTATGAACATAAAGTGGCTCATTTTACCTAAGTTCCTTCAAACACTCTCATCCTGTACAAATATCTATGTCTTCCACATACTAGATCAATATTGTAGGCTAAAACAAATCTCTCAGAAAAAAATAAGTATGTGTCATGTTGATGTTCAGAGTATTAAAAATCTCTCCAGATAAAATAACTCTAGAAAAATCACATGGGAATTAAGTACTTGGGATATAAAATGTGTTCTTTTCCCTCTCCCACTGTGGCCATCCAAACAAGTTATAGTTCTGAAAAAATGAATTTGTGTAATATTCACATAATGTAAATTATCATCAAAGCAAGGGATATATTTTTGTTATGTCTTCCTACCCCTAGCATCTTCCATAGAATAGATATTTAATAAATGCTTTTGGATTAGATGGGATGGTAATTCTTCTGAAATTACAATTTATATTTACATATGTTTCTTGCCCTGGTTCATAAGTATCTTTCATCAGGAATGCACACTATCCCTATTAACATTACTGTGAACCATATCACTAAATGAGCACAAAGGGAAAGTTTTCTCTGCTCACCTTTCCTTTTCCATGACAGAAAGCTTGAAAGGAATGATACAAATGTCAAAGCAATGTAAACATATTCTATACACAATAAATGTGAATACCTAAGATAAATAAGCTTTCGTTTTTTAACTATGACTCCTCTCAAAGCATTTCATATTCTTTGTATTTTGTATTGTCTTATCTATACTGATATGAAAATATTTCTTCTAATGAAGAATAAATATTGAATCAGATTTTCCAATACTCTATAAATTTCTCACACAAAAGGCATGTCTACAATGTGCAGTCACCCAGAAAAATACTGAAAAAGTTGATTAAGAATATAGATATTTGATGCTCAGCTGAAAATTCAGTGTGTATTTGGGTGTCAAATATAAAATATGAAGCTTCATTTCAGGGTTCTTTTCTCTTTTTTCTCTCTATGTACTTTGCCCTTTGGTGATTTGATTCCCTGTCCAATTCACGAATCCAAATAGGCTATTCTAATTTATCTTCCAAATTCCTTAGCCTGCTGCCTAAATCCCTCCTCAATCTTTCTCTGATCTACCTTTCCATCCTTTTTTTTTATTCCTCTTTATACACTCCAGCAAAATTGAACTTTTAATATTCCTGAATTCAACTTGCCAGCTCCAGAGGGGTTGTATGCATTCATCCATTCACATAAGCCTAAACTGTATTCTTTCCTCATCTTGATTTCTCAAAATCCTATATTTTTGTCAAGGATCAACTTAGGTGCCACCTCTTTTGTGAGACCTTTACTCATCTCCAGGTCACTCTCAGATATGCTCAAATATCATTAAATCACTTTGTCTGATCTTCTTTCCCAGTATGCCTTACCCAGTATGATTTTTTCTCCTGTGTATTTGACTTCCTCAGCTTGCTCCCCTCTGGAGAGGGACAATTTATTTATTTATTTATTTTTCTTAATTCTATTGGTTTGGTTTTTACATTATAATATGTATAGATTATTCCAACTTCATGAATGATCTCTTGCAATAAAGTAAAATAAATTAAGCAAAACTAATAATACCCTCAAAGTGAATGCTACATTACACATATGTAGCACCCCCATTTCTTTATTTTAACAGAAACTCATGTATACATATATATATATACACACACACACATATATTATATATATATATATATATATATATATATACATACACACACACACATAAAATACATATTAGATTGTTGTTGTTGTTGTCTAGTTGTGTCTGACTCTTCAAGACAACATGTACCATAACACGTCATTATTGTCCATGGGGTTTTCTTGGCAAAGATACTGGGATGAATGGTTTGCCATTTCCTTCTCTTGGTTTAAGGCAAACAGAGGTTAAATGACCTGCCCAGGGTCACACAGCTTTTAAGTGTCTGAGGCTAAACTTTAACTTAGGTCTTCCTGACTCCAGGCCCAGCACTCTATACACAAAGTCATCTAGTTTCCTCCACTTACGAGCAAAATACATAATATGTAATCCATCCATTCATATACACATATGTTATACATACCTACATCAAACACACATTTAAACCTACTTCTTTTGGTGGTAACATAATTCTTTGGTAGAAGTTAAGCCTTTTATTTTCCTAAAATATATTTGAATCTGTATGATACCTCTCCATGCAAAATTTCATTTTCCTGTCTAGACAACCTCAGTGTGTTTTCTTCCCTGCACATTATCTGGAGGGGCTTATTTTCCTTCCTCAGTTGATAAGGAGCTACTTCCAAATTACATAGTTTTTCAATTTTCTTTAGCTTTGAAGAGTAAAAACCAAAGTGAGTAGATTACTATTGCAATAGATTATTGTCACAACTCTTTTACTACCCTGTTTTCCTTTCTTGGTTTAGAGGGTATTTAGAATATATGAGATGCCTAAGAACCACTCAGCAATGGTGTTCTGATTTCACTATTACTCCCACACCATGACAGTACATAATTGGCAACAGACTGTTTACTAGTCAATATAAGTATGAATCATCACTTTTTCTAGGGTACACCTTACACACCAATTCTGTTCCTTTAACTATTTTGGGAAAGGGGAGAGACTGGACTTGTGATTGTTTTGGTGTAAAAAACTCTTGGTAAGAAAGTTCTATTGGCCAATGCCAAGCAGTGACCATTCTTCTAAGACTACAGTCTTAGACAGTTGCCTAGAAGAACTGAGAGGTTAAATTATTTACTCATGATCACACAGTTACTATGTAACAGAGTTAATACATTTACGGAGGTCTTCCTAACTCCAACCCAGCTTCCTGTTTACTGCCCAGCATTTCTCAAAGTGTGTGCCTTGGGCACCTTTGCTTTATTCTGCCCTTATTGGAGGTTCTCAAGTTTATACCCATTTTAAAAAATAATTTCTGGCTCTTGGTTTTAGAAAAATAGTTGCCATATGAAGGAAAGGTGAATTTATTGCTATGTTTTACTATTAGTGTTTTGTAGTAGGTTTTTTTTTAACAGGAATAAGTGTTGTATTTTGTCAAAATCCTTTTCTGAATCTATTGATATAATCACATGATTGTTCTTGTCATAATTAATATGATCTACTATGTTGGTAGTTTTCCTAATTGTATTCCTGGTATAAATTCAATATGATCATAGTATGTAACCTTTTCGGATATATTTTTGTGTAGGGTCTTTGCTAAGAATTTATTTTAAAAATTTCACATCATTTTTCATTAGGACATTGTTCTATACGTTTCTTCTTCTGTTTTGA